GTAAGTGAACCTGTGTCGTGTGCAATGCCTGCAGAGGTCAGAAGAGGCTGTCAGATCCCCTGGGACTGGAGTTACGGACAGTTGTTAGCTGCCATGTGGGTGCTGGGATTTGAACCCGGGTCTTCTGCAAGAACAACCAGTGTTCTTAATCGCTGAGCCATCTCTCCAGCCCCTATTTTTTACCTTTAACAAACAGAGGGCAAAAGGAAAGGAATCAGGCTGAAATAGAAACGAGAGAGAAGAAGAGGTAGAATTATCATGAGGAAGTGTAGGATAAGTGTAACTGGAAGAGCCTGTGTCCAGTGAAGGAAAAGCTCTCCTACAAGGAGAGGTGCAGAAAGGGAGGCTCATTCTAGGCAGAGGAAGGGGTACTGCTGCCCAAATGCAAGAGAATGGGCAGAGACCTCCACCACCACCACACCTGACTGGTTTAGCTAACTATTTGTCTTAGCTCTCATTTCATACCGTGAAGGGTCACTTAATAACATATCCTTGGCAAATTAAAATATGTAGTTTCAAATGTTTTATTTTTTTAAACCAACATTTCCCAAAGTCTGGCCCTGAGACTCCAGTGACATTTTCAGAGGTCAATGAGGTCAAACTTATTCTCATAACAGTTTGTTTCTGCACTGGGTACTGCTATTCCCTCACAGGTGGACAATGACATCTGTCCTGGGCTACATGAAGAGCAACTCTGAACAGACTGAATATAGGTATGAGAAAACACTTATCTACTTAACTCTTTAAAAAGGGCAGCAAAACTGTAAAACAATCTGTTCTTTTCACATTTTTTTTTCATTTTGGAAAGTACAATTATTTTTCATGAGTACATAGTAACATCTAATACCTCCTTTGTTGTATGAATATATTTTTGCTTCTCAGTTTTAATTCTACAATGGCAAATATGGATGGTGTCTTAGCTTCACTTGTCAACTTGACATAGCCCAAGGTCACCTGAGAAGGCAGTGTCCATTGAAGGACTGCCCAGATCAGACTGGCCTGTGGGCATGTTTGTGGGGGATTTTCTTAATGGTTAATTAATATAGGAAGGCCCATACCACTGTGCTATCAAAGGTCCTTAAAATTTAAACAATTTAGAAAGAAACTGATAACAAAACAAAAATGGAGTCAATGTAGAATACTTTTTCAGGAAAAGGATTAATAAAGATCTGTAAGTTAAGGAATTGTTTTTATAGGGAACATGGGTATTTGAGTTAAAAAATAAATGATTCAGTGGTGAGGGGAAAGGCAAGAGAAAGTTTTGGAAGTAGTATCTATGAGATATGGAAGGTGTGATTTAGATGAAATGATTTTCTGAAAATTAAGAGATGTTTGTTAAGTATGGTTCAACATAAATCTTACTAATTCTCCTTTTTTCCCAACGGGCCATAATTCTTCTTTGTAAATTAGAAAGTTCGGTGTTTCATGAGGATATTGATGGTGGGTAGCTTAACGGAGAAAAAAAAAAAATCATCAAACCAGCCCCTTGAAGGAGACTTGTTGTTAGAGGGTATGTGTGGCCCCTGGTAGGTTTTCCATGCTCTAGTGAATGGCTCTACACCCAAGCACATACGGGCAACAAGAATTAGACTTAGTGGGTTATCAAAACAAACAATCAGACATGAAGTTAGCAGCAAACAGGAGGCATTAGAAGGGATATGGGAGGAGCTGGAGTGGGGAGAATAGGGAATGGGGATTGCATCTGATCATATTTAGTTGCATACATGAACAAAATTTAGTAGCATACATGCACAAAATTCTCTAAGAATAAGAAAAGTATAAATAGGGCCGGGTGTGGTGGCACACACCTTTAATCCCAGCACTCTGGAGGCAGAGGCAGGCAGATCTCTGTGAGTTCAAGGCCAGCCTGGTCTACATAGTGAGCTCCAGGCCAGCTGGGGCTACAGTGAAACCCTGTCTCAAAAAGACCAAAAAAAGAAAAAAGTATAAATAAAAAGCCTTACTTTTGTTAAACAAAACCAGGAACAACCAAACCAAACTAGCAAACCACCAGCCCCCAAGAGTGTGACACTGCTTTTTGGTAAGTTTCAGACAATTGGTTTTGCTTCCTGCACTGTTCCTCCTACAGCGCCCTGGCCCCTCAGTGTTCACCACTTAAGCATTTGTTCCTTCCGAAGCTCTTCCTTAAAAGAGCTAGGTTTCTGATTTGAATCCGGTCTGATTATCATGTTTAAGTAGGTAATTCTTCCAAAATGTACAATGCAAGTTGAGTGCAAAAGTAAACTTTTCCAATCTAATTTTAGTTCAGAAAATAAATGATGCGGCAATCGGATGTAAGGAAAGAGATCTGGGAACCTGAGGACAGATCGTTTTATGCTTAGCTCTGTACCGTTTCTTAAAACAGGCCTTGAACTTCAGCCACACTCACAGGGTTTATTACAAGAGATTCCTGGACCTCAGCCCCAGGGACCAAGGGCAGGAACTTGTGTTTCATATAAGCTCTATGTGATGCCACTGCAGCTGGCCCCTGGACTGTAGCTGTAGGTGGCAGAGCATGAAGGCGCTGCAAAGACAGCTTTCTACCATTACCTAGTCCCGTCTAGTTGAGAGAGAACATTCGGTGCACCTCAGTCTTCCCTTCTGCCACTCTGTGATTGCCGGCACCTTCATGTATATCTTTATTATAATTTACGTCATACTTCAAATTGTCTTTTTATTTGGATGTTATAAAATTTTATATTTTATAAAGAGAAAATGGTACAACTCCTCCTGTAAACTTCAAAATAAACATAAATAAAAAAACGATAAAACTCTTGCTGTATATTTTTTTCTGAAGTTATGTGTCTGAACCCTATTGTTTTTTAACAAGGAAGAATAAAATTAAGTGCACACACACACACCCACACACAGGCACAAAATTAAACTGTTCTTTAATTAATGAGAAAGCTCAATAAAGGACTACAAAATCTTCCCTTATCATTTGACTCACATGATACTTAGTGCTGAATATCTACACTACTTAAAATAACTCCACTTGCTATTAGCTGTATTTGCATACATTTTGGGAAGTATTATTTGAGAGAGCATCTTCTCCCCTTCTGCAGCTTTCATGTCACTATTGATTAGAGTTAATCACACTAGGCCGGGCCTGCTTTTGTACTAACTGGTCATATAGTCTGCGTATCACCTTTGCTCAAGCACAGATCATTAAGAAGAGTCATAGTGAAACCCAGTTGTTGAGACTGTAATATTCTACGAAGGGAGGAGGAGCACTCACTGCAGGCTCATCTTGATCTTTGACACATCTTCTTATTCATCAGTATGTTATTCATGTAGGAAGGGTATGCAGGGCTGTGAGGCTGAATGGTACATGTTGTCTTTCTTACAGTAAATCACAGGAAGAAATGGGTGGCAATTATGTGGCCATAGATGGTGGCTCACACACTATGAATTTTAAGACCATTGGAAATGGAAAGACATGGGCAAAGTTCGTTTTACCGGTCTACATACACCACATGAATAAAAACGTCAATTTGAGGCCACTGATACTATACAAATTTTTATTTATTAATTTTTTCTCCTTGGGACAGGGTTTCCAGCTGGCCTTGTAGACTAGGCTGGCCTTGATTCCAGAGGATGATTCACCTGCCTCTGCCTCCCGTGTACTGGGATTGAAAATGTATGCAACCATGCTTGGCTTCTAAAAGGTAATTAAAAAAAATATATATACAAACATGTATGGGGGTTAGGGAGGAAAACTAAAATATATTTTTTGGAATCTCATTTTTTTCCCCAAATTAAATCTTTGTTTGTTGGAGTCTCATGTAGCCCAGGCTGGCCTTGAACTTGCTAGGTAGCTAAGGATGACTTTAAACTTTTGATCCTCCCGCCTCTATTTTTGAAGTGCTATGCTACCACACCAGGAAAAATTTTTATTTTAATACTTCTTAGAGTTTAATAAGTAATTCAGGTACCTATAGTTTTTATTTTCCCCTATTCATTTCTGTATCTGTATTTCTGAAAGGTCCATAAAAGTTACACTGCAGGTTAATGTCAATTTCAAAGTGGAGTTTAAATTCTTATTTCAAATTAGGGAATATTTAACTGCCTCAGTGCCATCTAAGTTCTTTTGCTCTGTATTCAGCTTTTTTGGGTAATGAGTCTGGTTCTTGAGTTTATACTTTCAAGTATCTTATTTTTGCTAACTTTGTTAAGCATTTTTCAGAAAAAGGTCATAATTCCTTGTAGGTTTCCTTTAGTGACATAATCCATCAACCAAAAATAATCCCCCCAAAACAAAACACACACACACACACACACACACACACACACACACACACACACACACACACACAGAGGCCCTCACACTGTCCTTTTATTGTTTGAGGTGAGGTTCATGTGAACAAACTTAGAAAAAAAAAGCAGCATGGCAACTGTACTACTGTAATTAAAAAGAACGAGCTGGAAGATCACATGTGCTGTACCATTAAGTGCAAAAAGCAGGTTGTGTTAAAGAGCGACACTAAGAAGTGGCCTCACCCTGCTCAGCATGGGCTTTAACCACGAATGGGGAGCAGGCTGCAGCATGATACACATTGGGATGCTAACTCTGGTTAGTCTGCTTGTTGTGACAGACAGAAGGCAAAGGTTAAACAGGCAGAGAGATGACTTGTGTTAATAAAAGATCCATTTTCTTCTTTATACACCTGAAACAACTTTCTAAATAACTTATAAATATAATTTAAAAATGAAATCTGGGAGGTGGACTTTAAGATGAGTAAGTCTTTGGCAGAGATCTGATCTTGAGATTGTAGAGTGGGAATACTGTATCACTGCTATTTGTGTATAAAGGATATGTACTTCATAAATCAAGCTGCATCTTAGAGGAGGGATAAATAATCCACAGAGAAAGTGAGTTTGAAAACGTCTTCATCAGAAACACATGATACCTTAAGGTACTGTTATATGCAAGAAAAATAAAATTATTGCACTAAAAAGTTTCAAGCAATGAAATAGACACAAAAAACTGAACTACATAGCAAAATGAAAACTTTTTACTTATATTAGTTAAAAAAATACTGCAATGTCATGGAAAGAGACTAATAGTTATCCCCCTCCCCAAACCTTCAGCACAGCTTCTAATACTCATATGTATTTTATAAAAACATTATCAAGGTAACAGACATATAAATAACCATTTATAAACTGACTTTCTTCTTGAAAAAAACTCACTCATAAGCTTTTATTTTGAAGGAAATTTGAAGATAGTGCTCTAGAAACCATAAGACCTTCCGGGTAAGGTTGAAGTCCCATTTGTTTGTTATCTTTCAACTTCTGCACTATAACTTTGGCAAATTCTTCTCCTTGGATGTCACTGGTGTCCAGTAACTGCCTGACTTTTGAGGTCCTTGTAGGTTTGGTACTAATAAGTTCATAGTCCTCCTTCATGATCAAGTCCCGGGACAGAAGGGCATCTAGTGATTGGTTAAGGCAGGCTTCAGTCATTTGGCTCACGATGTCTTCCCTCTTGCTTTGGATCCACTGTTGGGCTATTCCAGGCTGTAGGCGCTCTGTAGAAGGGCAAAGCATGAGCAATTAACAAAGGTGAAGTCAGACAACAGCAACAAGTCCACGTAAAACTCAACAAGGAGAACGAACATGTATTTCTGTATAACTGTGCCAGTATTTTTGAAGATGCTGGTATTTTCCAGGAAACATCCAGAAACTTGGATTATTTCCCCCTTTACCTTCCAGAAAGAACACTGTATTTTTTTTTTTAATGACATATGTTATGGGGCAAAATGACTTTTGATGTTTTATTTCAAAAATAAACGATACCTGCTTATCTAAAAAATAAAAAAAATAGTTTCACCTTTCCTAACAAAGTAAATCCTATTTTCTCTTAGCACTTCCTTCCCGTTAGAGATTCCTGGAATACATCTGATCCTATTAAGACATATCGGCACCGGGGTTAGTACTTTTCCTACTTCAGAAAATATGTGCCACGGTGAGGAAATAAAAACAAAGCAGCCTTACTGCATGGGTATATCTACTTAGTGAGTACTGGTACAGTAAATGAAATCATTTACAGTGTGTCTCACAGTAAATATTTACCTGAATTTCTCTCAGTCAAGAGTGGATTTATTACAGCTGAAGAGCACAGGGTAGGTCTGTGATTGCAGAATGTCGCTCTTTGTGATGCAGAAATGGTACCATCCCAACTGTGATTTACAGGACAGTGATGCAGCTTCACGGAAGAGCAGTCTTGAGGCCCTCCTACAGAACAACGTTTTCATTAGGGGTAGAGCATTCCCTAGATATTCCTATTAGTAAAATATCAACAAGGTGGGTCACATAGAAAGTAGGAGCCAATGTCTTAGATTTTCACTGTTATTGAAGGTGCTTCAGAAACCCATTTCTCCAAACACTTAAAAACAATTTTTAAGTTATATTTATTTAGTTGTGTATGTGTATGTGTCTGAAGGTCCGAGGACAACTTGCAGGAGTTGGTTCTCTCCATCATGTGAATCCCAGGGATTGAACTCAGGTTATCAGGCTTGGCAGCAAGTGCCGTTACCTGCTAAGCCGTCTTGCTGGCACTGCAAATACTTTTAAGAGTAAATAAGCATTTATACTGAATGTTTTCTACTGCTGTCTGTGTTTGCTTGCCTGATGAACATCATAAACCATAAAATTTAATGTCTTCTCATAGTCCTATACTTCTTCCTCTGTGAATTCCTCTACTTTAAATGTGTCTTATGCCTATGTGTGTTAAATATATCTTCTCTGGAAAACCTACTTCACTACTTCAACTGTCTACCTCTACTCTCAAATGTGTGTAACTATATTTCTCTTATCATTGAACACTGGGACTTCAGCATTCTCATCAGCTGGCTGCACATTACCCCAACAGGCACTGCTGACACCTCAAACAAACAAACAAACAGACTTAAATCATCCTTCATCTTAACTCTGAGATTTGTTTCAGTTATTAGCTAATAGCTCCAGTGTTTTCCCAGTGATCCAGCTCTACCTGGTTCTGTATTAGCTTTCTCAAGTGAAAGGTGATAAACTGCCATCAGTGAGCCGCCCACACTCTCTCACACAGCCTCCCTGTTTTCACTGTGGACTAGTTACCACATTGTGGCAATGACAGTCTTCTTTCAACATGTCTTATATAGAACCAGGAAGATGACCTAGTGGTTAAAGGCACCTGCTTGACCGGAGTTCAATACCCAGAATCAGCAGTGGAAGAAGAGAACTAACTCCTGAAAGTTGTTTTCTGATCTCCACATGCATGCCACGGCCTGTGCTCTACCAATGAACACACACACACACACACACACACGAGAAAAAATTTAAAATATCTTAAACACTGATGAACCTTTCTTCCTAAAGCAAAAATTTATATTTGACATCCTTGCTCAAAATTTTCAAGTCATTCCCAACTCAAGTTAAAAATCTAAATTAGCTTAGCTGAGTTAGAATTCTTGATGATATGATTATGATCCACCTTTACCTTTTATCTCCTTTTATTCACTCTGTTCACCATACAAATAAAATTACCCACTATTATCTGTGCATCTTTTTTCATGGAATGCCTGTCTGTCATAACTAGAGGTGTAGCCTTTAGCCAGAAATAATGTCTTCATGATTACAACATGATACAGTGTCATGAAGGGATTTATCAAAAGGCCTGGCTTTAGTCAAGTCTTAGATCTACTGGCTACTGCCTATGTGATCCACAGTTACTTTGTAAAGAATTTTCTCATTCACTGTAGTTCTACATGTTAGGGTTCCAAACAGCAGCAGTTTCCCCCCTCCCCAACAGGGACCTCACCTTGACCTTTGAAGTCAAGGGAAACAATCTCTGCTGAGAAGCAGCCTGCCTTTCCTCTGATCTCCAAAGATAAGATAAGCAGATTCTACCTGTTAACCAGAGATTTTAGAAGTTGTTTATCACAACAGCTTTTCTTTTACCTTAAGAGGGGAAAAGTAAACACTTCCAGACCCTAATCCTACCTGCTTTTCCTGCTTCCCCCTCCCTGATTTCTCACCCAAACATTCCCCCCTTCTACACCCTAAAGCCCCCATATATAAGTCCCAGCTCACAACCCGTGGACTGACATCTTTCCCTTCCATGACATCTTTCCCTTCCCTGCCCTTCCCTGACATTTTTCCCTTCCCTGCCCTTCCCTGACATCTTTCCCTTAGCTGACATTTTTCCCTTCCCTGAGGGAAACATGTCCCATGTGAAATAAAGCTGTATCCAGCTGAGAATTCCACCTGTGCCTTGCTGCCTCCTCCATCCGCGCCTGCTCTCTCCAACATTTTTACCTATCATTACGTAACTCCTTTTCTTAAAATATAAAGTTACTATGGTAACTCAGAAACAATTTTTCTTACTTGTGAGATCAAGGAAAAAAAGTCTTTCCATCATGACCAACATAATGCCTTGATAATTAAATGTATTTGCTGAGATGCCACTGCTGTGTCCACATGCACAGACCTATTACTGTAAAATGATGGGTATGAATGCAAATGAAAGACACGTTCTGCTCAAACCATCTGTCTGCCAAGAATATGATCTTGAAGGGAAATGGAAAACCTGTGAACTCATACTGATTGGAAAATTGACATACCAGACAAAAAATCTTTCTCTGGAGGAGCTGACAGGGACCTCGATGTCTCAGAAGAACCACTGCTTCTATAGAGCAGAGAGGAGCCACACGATTCCTAATGCAAACAGAGTACAAAAAGCCTTTATACTTAAAGGTTAACAACAATAAATCATCTTAAAAGTTATATAGCTTTAGTTTCTAAACTCTTCTTGCTTTTGGTTTATTACAAACAAAGATTCAGAGCTGCTATAAATTATATAGTATACAGACTCAAAAGAAATAACATAAAATCACCAATAAATATAAACTTAATTTCTTTCTTCATTTTTTTGTACTGGGGATTGAATCCAGGGCCTCATGCATGCCAGGTAAGCACTCTACTACTAAGCTTCATCTCCAGCCCCTAAACTTCATTTCTCTATCAACTTGGATGGAGGAGATAAGAAATAGTTATGTACTAGAAATGACCACTTCTAAAATATATCCTAAATAATTCCAGAGGCTTCTTCCAGCGGCTAGAATAGTGAATGAGAAATGTGAAATCTGTATTCTGGTTATCTATTCTCATACACACACAAAAATCAGTAAAAACTTAAAAAAAATAAAAATTCTAACTATGTATTGTGTTTCAATGCTCTTTTGATGGTATTGTTACTTTTCTGAACCTGTAAAGTGAATATACATCTTCTTAAAAATGTTTCCTGAAACAAGCTACTAAAGAAAAAGGACAGGTGGCATAAATAAAGTGGTGGAATTATAACCAATGATTTGCACATATGATACCTTAAAGCATTACTCATTGTATAAAACATGATGAAGACAGAGTCAGAAGACCTGGACTTCAACTTGGAGCCTGTCATGGTTGCCTGACGTTCTAAAATCTCCCTGGAGTTTAATCTCCCATCTATAAAAGGGGTTAGATTAAATGATTTTTAAAAATATTCTCACATTTCAAGTATTGTATAAATAATAGATGCATATTTGTACCTCCTGTGGACCATGATTTACAGGTATGTTCAAAGATAAATCCATTTTCTTCTTACCACATGAAAGAGTAGTTCTTGACATGCTCTGTAACTGGAATGAACATATGAATACATGCTAATTACAGAAGTAAAATTCAACTTCCCTAACAGGCTTTGCATTTATACGAAGCAATGGAAACAAAATCTAAAACATTTGAGAATATACAACTTAAAGACAGGGACAGTGTAGGCTAAGGGAAATGCTTAGAGAAAGACTTTGAATCCTGCTTCATGTTAATTGTTCATCTTCAACAAATTACAGAGTCTTGTGCCTTATTTATTATTTATTTATTTATTTGTCTTTTTTGAGACAGGGTCTCCCTGTAGCCCCAGCTGACCTGGAACTTGCTATGTAGACCAGTCTGGCCCCAAACTCACAGAGATCCACCTGCCTCTGCCTCCCAAGTGCTAGGATTAAAGGCATGTGCCACCATGCCCGGCATTGTGGCTTCATTTTAAAAATTATATCCACATTCAGGGTTATTTTAAAGAATGAGATAATATGAAGTATCTGGTTCATACCAGGTACTTAATCAATTCTGTTATGTTCTACCTATCCATAATTACTATTATTCATTTACTGTATTTCATGCACTGGGTTTGATGGAGATGGCATGTTACTATGTATGGAATGATGAAGGTCATATAGCCATTCAGGTCAAGTTTAGAGTCCCAGGATATCTAATTTTATGACCTTGGACATGACAATTTCTGTCTTTTTAACAAATGTTTTATTTCTTTTTTGACAATTTCATACATGTATGTAATAAATTCCCCCACTCCTCTCCCCCATCCCCACTCTGGAATAAGGGCTTCCTCTGGAACCTTCTCAGTTCGTCCCTCTCCTACTATCCCATCTTAACTCACTGAGTTTAATTAGGGCTGCTTCCAAGTGCAAGAGCATGAGGATGAGTTCAAGTTACTCATCTATGAATTAGAGCTAAGAATACCCACTTTGTAGGATTGCTGTAAGTAAAACAAGCAAAACAGCCCAAGACTACTTGTAAACATTCAATAAATGTTAGCTACTAAACAGATGACTTATTTATTCAAATACTATAATTTTGTAGCAAGAAGATTTTGGGATCTATAAATAGGATTAAGTTATCACCACTGCTTAGTGATTTAAAAAAACTGGGGCTGGAGAGATGGCTCAGCGGTTAAGAGCACTGACAGCTCTTGCAGAGGACCTGGGTTCGATTCCCAGCACCCACAAGGCGGCTAAGAACTGTCTTTAACTCCAGTTCCAGGGGAATCTGAAGCCCTCTTCTGACCTCCACGGCATTGCACGAAAATGGGTGCAGCCACATACATGCAGGCAATACACTCATACACATGAAATAAAAACAATAAATAATATTTAAAAAAATCTGAAAGCCTATTTTTTTTTTTTTTTTGACACAGGGTCTCACTAGCCTGGAACTTACTATGTAGACTGGGCTGGCCTCAAATTTACAGCAATCTGTTGGCCTCAGCCTCCAGAGTGCTGGGGTGACAGGTGTGAGCTGCCATACCAGCTCAGTCTACTTTTCTTCTCTACACCAGCCCAATGCTAGCTGCTCTTCAGAACTTAGAACCTGATGGATGGGTTTGTAGCCAAACTTCCACTATCCAGTTACAACTATCTGTTCTACCAGGAGGAAAAAAGTCGCATTAATTCATTTATATAATGATCTAGCATATTATTCGGCAAATTGTAGTTCAACAATCATTCATAAACATATTTTATATGAACCTTTAAATTAGTTTTTGGCTATGTCTCTGCTATGTAAGATTTTCCTGAAATATATCTAATATAATATCTTTATAGTAGTAACAGTTTTAAAACTAATCAGGTATGACAATTCAAATTGTGAAGTAGTAAATCATTCTCAAAGAAGAAATGAAAGAGCTTATTAAAAATTTTTGTTTTGTTTTTATTATTTGGGATCAAGATATAGGAAGCAATTACTTGCAAAAACACAAAGAGATGGTTAAAATAACTTTTAAAATGTAGAAAAGTCAGATGTGGTGACACATCTTCAGTTCTAGCACTTGTGAGGCAGAGGCAGGGGGAGCTCTGTGAGATGGAGGCCAGCTTCATAAGGGGTTCCAGGCCAGGTGGAGCTATTGGGAAACCCTGTCTCAACCCCCTCCTCCCCAAAATCCAAAGCAAAACAAAACAATGTAGAAATGCAAATGAAATGTCACTCTAAATAGAAAAACATTAAATTTGCATGCACGAGAGAGAGAGAGAGAGAGAGAGAGAGAGAGAGAGAGAGAGAGAATATGTGTGTGTTTAAACGACAGGATCTCATCATGTTGCCCATGCTGCCCATGTTAGTCTGGCTTTAAACTCAGGACTCTGCTACCCCACTCTGGAAGAGCCAGCACTAGAGGCACAGCACTGTGCTGGGTTTTTCCGTTTGCATTTTATTGTTAGCTCTGTCGTTGGCTAGCTATCTGTGTGGGGTATTATGTAAGTGACTCATTTTCCTGTACTGCAATTATCTCATGAAGGAAATCAGATGATATTCTTGCCCTGGCAGCTTCACAGAATGAAACCAGGATTTAAAAACCCTCCTACTCCAATTTTATGTGAAAGTAAGTGATAACATAAACACGATGAAAATTAAATCTTATATATAGGATCCCAGGGTCTAATTGTTCGGAGATAAAAAAGGAACTGGGATGGCTCTCTTTTTACTTCATAACCAAGACAACAGGCCCTTCTAACCAGTTTCTTTTGCCTCCCCCGCCCCCCTTTTTGTTGATATTAGGAACTGCACCCAGGGTTTTGCATATGCTAGGCAAGTACTCTACCACTGAGCTACCACCTTTTTTATATTTTATTCTGTGACAGGTTCTAGCTAACTTACCCATGCAGGCCCTGACCTTGCACTGTCCCCACACAGGCCTTGAATCTGCAATCTTCCTACTTTAGCCTATGGACTAGGTGGGGTTACACAGGCTTGCATCACCAGGTCCCTGCTTACCTACTCTTGTTTGGAGAGACAAGAGAAAAAGAAAAAGGTGTGAGAGAAAAAAGGAACTAAATAAACAAGATGAAAGGAAATGCTTTGTTTTATAATAACTGGAAAAATTGGTATCTCTGGGAAAGACCATACCTACCCAGAAATGAGGGAGTCAGAGCAGTTAGGAAAAGAAGGAAAACACAGCTCTTTTTTAGATCCTGATAAAACTTCGGTATGAATATCACTATGGCAAATTTTTAGTTAGATGATGAGTAGTTGTTTCTTATCTGTACTTATCTTTAAAAGGTTATGCTAGCAGAGCCAGTAAACCAGGAGGGGGAAAAATGTCATTCGACAAGGAAATTGTAGAGCGTACTTATTCATCACCCAGGAATTTGGCTACCCAGTAGTTTCTATTACCATATATCAAGTGCAACACAACGAAACCTAGAGAGCACTAACCTAGGCTTACTCTGCTCTCAAGGACCACAGCTGCTTTGTGAGCATTTGTTTTTGAATATTAAGAAAACTCTACAGTAGCAGGTCCCTTTGGCTGTTTTTCTGGTCCACACTGAGGAGACAAGGGTCTTAGGTCATTCACATTAACTTCTCTGATATTTCTGTTTACAGACCATGGAACATTTGAGTGAGAAAATGAAAAAAAAAAAACCAATACAATTTTGGGGTTGAAATATAGTATAAATGGTACTGCTTTACTTGTCAATAAATCTCGGAAAAACTCAAGTTCACTGAATAAAAAGAGGAGAGCAAGAACTCAGACATCTGTTCCTCTGCAGGTATACAAACAACAGAGGCAAATATAGAGTAAAACACACAATGTACTTGGTGTGATTCAGAGCATGCATTGTACATAGCTGGCTTTCATTACATATTTTAAATTCACATTTCATATATGACCATTCTGAAAATGTTAAACATGAAGCTGGCCATATAAATCAAATGGAGAAACTCTGTTGTCAAAGAAAAGGTAGTAATCAGTCCCCAGTAAATTCTCCTACCTCAAAAATATAGCCTTTATTTGTAAAACTAAATGGAAAATTGAGTAATACATAGTTGTTTAAAATTATAACTTCTAGGGCTGGAGAGATGGCTCTGTGGTTAAGAGCACTGGCTGCTCTTCCAGAGGACCCAGGTTCGATTCCTAGCATTCACATGGTGGCTAACAACTGTCTGTAACTTCAGTTCCAGGGGATTTGATGAAGTCTTCTGACCTCCATGGGCATTGCATGGCATGGTGCACTTACACACATGTGGGCAATATACTCATATACATAAAATAAAAATAAATAAAAAGTATTAAAAATTATAACTTCTAAAATTTCATTGAGCAATTTACCTTTGTTTTTTTTAGTTGAATAACAGCTTCAAGAAAAGTTATTTCTTCAAATGTTCTCAGAACTGGTTCAAGTTCTATTAAGCATTCTAAATAAGAAAAAAAAAAGTTTCTAATTATCATGTTGAAATGCTAACACTTACATTCTAAGGCCCCAGGTCAATCATTCATTAAACAGGTAACATTCAATTGTCTTAAGAATTGTTATTACTGCCATAAACACAGACATAAGGACCAATGCAGCAGAATCAGTAGCCTAAAAATGAAGCTTTATAATTCTAGTCAACTGATTTTCAACAAGGAGTCTTAAATTCAATGAGGCAAAGATAGTTTTTTTTTTTTTTTTTAAATAAGCTATACTATGAAACATTTGGATATCTGTATGGGAACAGTTTATACCATATATAAAAATTACCTTGAAAGAGGTTATCCACTTAAACAGGGTAAAATGTTCATAACCTTGACTTAGGGAGATTTCTTAAATATGAGAAAAAATAGGATCCACAAAAAACCTGATAATTGGACTTTAAAAATAAAAAAAAAATTGTACTGCCACCTCCTGAAAGTTGCCTTCTGACCTCTGTCTGAGCATGTTCACAGTCACACATACAGATCACACACACACACACACACACACACACACACACACATACACAAAACAAAGCGAAAGAGAGGAGAGGAAGAGGGAGAGGGACATTATGATAACCCAGTAACAGGGGAAATACATACAAAAATGAGTAAAATTCTTGCCAATTGTCTATCATTGCCTGCACCTCTAATCACATTTTAATATATATCAGTCTCACATCTTTACTAAAACTACATTTGGGAGCTGGAGCAATAGCTCAGCATTAAGAGCGCACATTGCTCTTCTGGAGGACCGGAGTCCCAGCACTCACACTAGGGGCTCACAACCACTCATAGGTCCAGTTCCAGGGGAAGCCAATGCCTCTGGCCTTCACCCACCACCTGCACTCACATGCATATACCCACATGCAGACACATACACATAATTAAAAGAAGTCTTTAAAAAAGAGAAATAACATTTGGCAATGTTGGAAAATCTTATTTTTTTTTTTTGTGAGATGGGGTCTCACTGTATTACCAGGCTGGCTTCAAATTCCAAAGCTGAACAGATCCCTCTGCCATAACGTCTCACCACCACACTCAGCTACATCTTGCTTATATGACCTACAGGTAGGTTAGACATGACCATTCCTTCCTTGAAACATCTTTCTGGATCTTCCCCACATACAAGAGATGACACTATTCTCTCCTTCACAAATGATTTTCTTCTTCCTCTACTCAATTTCTAACTGTTAGAATACCTCAGTGGCCCAATACGGGCACTTTATTCTTTGTTATTAGGCTGCGTTCTCTGCCTAGGGTGATCTAGCAAAGACTTCTTGTGTGTTAGTGACCCTCTATTTTATAGTAGGAGTCCTAGACTCATTCTTGAGCAAGAAACTTATACCTTATTATAGTAGTAAGCATAATTATAATTCTTTCGACGTGTTGGTTATGATTAGGCAAATACAAATCTCTGTGTGAACATGTTTTCATTTCTCTTAGGTAACCAATGACCTGTGAATGGAATTGCAGGGTTGTATGATAAATTATTTTGCATTTCCATGAAACTGCCAAACTGTTTCTCCAAGTGGGTGCATCATATTCCATTTTTATCAGCAGTGTATGAAGGCTTCATTTCTTCATAACACTGTCAACACATTATTACCTGTCTTTTTTATGGTGGCTATTTTAATGGGTGTGGAGTGGAATCGTACTGCACTTTCTAATGATATGAAAAGCATTTTATGTGCATTTCAGTCAAATGTACATATTCTCTGATGAAATTCTAATCTCCTATAAATTTTTGGCTTGGGACTTGCTATGTAGACCAGGCTGGCCTCAGTCTCACAGAGATCTGCTTGCCTCTACCTCTCAAGTGCTGGGATTAAAGGCATGCACCACCATGTCCATCTTTCTTACACACTTTTAAAACGTGTTATTTGTCCTGTTATTGAATTAGTCAGTTTGTTTTATTTCTAGATACAAATTCTTTTAGACATGATATGTGAATATATTCCCACCATCAGTAGCTTGCTTTTTCATATGTTAGTAGTTCATTTATTTATTTGCCAATGTGTATACACATGGCATGTGTTATTTGTGTATGTATGTTTGCATGTATATAGAACAGGTATGTGAGGGTATGCATGCACATGTGTGAGTATGTCTATGGCGGTCAGAGGTTAACATTGGGTGCTTTCCTCAATTGCTCTCCACCTTATATATTGAGGCAGCATCTCTCACTTGAACCCAGAGCTTACCATTTCAGCTAGTTTAGCTAACCAGATTGTTCTGAGGCTCCCCTGTCTCTTCCTCCCAAGTACTGAGTTTACAGGCAGGATGCCATGCCTGCCAGGCATTTACATGGGCATTGAGGAGCTAAGTTCTGGTCCTCATGCTTGCATGGTAAGTGCTTTATCCCTGAGCCATCTCCAGAACCTAATAGTTTATTCTGAAGTACAAAGTTCTGAATAAGTTTAATTATCAAGCTTATTTATTTATTGAAAGTTTTCTAGATCCTAGTGATGACAAATCTAAGAACTTTGTCTAATAAAGGTCTTAAGATTTTTCTCTTATGTTTACATTAGGGGTTTGATCCATCTGTCTCTCAGTAATTTTTCTATCTCTAGAATTAACATCTTAACTGAACAATTATTGAAGGAGTTTTCTGTCTGGTTTCTTTGGTATTGTCTGGCCTTCCCCAGGCACTTCCCCATACTATGGCAGCAAGAACGATTCTGACCTAAACCTAAATTAGATCGCGTTGCTTCCCTAAAAGACAAAACTTGAATAGCTTTTGGACTCAAATCTGAGTTTTCACAGAGGCAAACAGTGTCTTCTTTACCTTTCCAATGCCATCTTTTATTACCTTTGTTCATAATGTTCCAGCTACATAGGCTTTCTCTTTATTCCTTGGACATACAAAGCACTTCTTCTAGGCGCAGAACCTCTACCTTGCTGCTTCTCTGCTAGAACTACCCTTTCCTCGGTGTCGGAATGACTGGCTCTTTTTCAAGCTTCAAATCACAGCTCAAATGTGTGTTCCTGAAAACGGCGTTTCACCATTCCTTTTACCATGTTTATTTTACTACAGGACTTCACAGCCTGTGTCATTTATTTACTGTTTTCTCAATGCCTTCTCAATGAGAATGTGAGCTCTTGAAGCTAGAGACTTCACTTGTCCTGTTTACTTTCTGCTACCAGTGCTCACTCCTGTGAGTAGAAAGCACAGAGGACAGTTCACTGGGTGAGTAGACTGTTCCTTCTACCAAATGATTTCTCTTCTCTGTTAGGAATCCTCAAATCTTCTCCAGAAGCAGTTACCAATAAAAATTACAACAAATAATAAGAGTGAAAAGAATTTATATAACAATTTCAAGATAGGCATAATTTTTCAAGGAATATTTTATTCGTAGTACATTAATTATTTCTGTAATTCAAAAAGGTCCAGATTGAAACTTTTTACTCACTTAAGAAAGATGGTCTCTCATCTGGGTTTTGTGCCCATCCACTTTCTATTAGAGAGATCATGAGTGTCCGATGAGGTATATCAAATGGCAAATTTTCCTCGTTAGTGTCAGGTCGATGTCCCTGTGACACACTATACATGATCTGCAAAGGATTGGTGACCTCTGTCAAAACAAATGAATTTTAAGTAGAAATATGTTATGACCTAGGATATTAAACACTAAGACTAATAAAATAAAAATGAGGACATCTTACAATGTTAGACCAATTCATTCTACCCTTCTCTGAAAAAGGATGCATCTCCCAACCAGTGTCAGACTGGTATGCCTCCTGTGGGAGGAATACCTCCTTACTTCTAGACTGGTTATTTGATTTGGTCACTGGGATGTGAGAAGAGCAGAGCCAGGCAGAGCTCAGCAGAGGTGAATGCAGCCTAGAAGAGCCAAGAACAGATTCAGTAACTAATCACTAATGTGAGTGAGAAACAGATGCTATATGGTAAGCAACTGAGATTTTGAGGATGTCTGTTACAGAGCAAGCTGAACAACACAGGCTTAAAAAAACAGCAGTATTATCTGGGAATGAAAAGATTATTCTTCAATGTTTGCTGGTCTTTATAAGAGAAATAATAATTAATTTTTCATACAGTTTTATAGCTAGGATCTTGAAAATGGTAATTAATAAATCTCATGTTGCAAAAGACAAAAATGAGGACTAGGGATTTTGTGGCATGAAAATAGAGTTAATTATTACCAGAACAAGAATTAGAATTTAGGTATTTCTGATATTTAATTAAGTACACTCTTCAATATACCATGGGTTCCTAACTGATCCTTAATCCAGTAACATTTGTGGTATAAAGTAGACACATAACAGATAAATTGTTATGTTTTCATGTTATGTTTTGTGCAGAATGAATGAGAAGCAGATTTAAAATATGATGGGCTTTAGATAGCTCAGAATGTGTACCAACAGCAGGAGGTTTGTGCTGGGTAGCTTTAGTTGTCAACTTAACATACCTGGGTGAAGGGAGCCTCAACTGGGGAATTGCCTCCATTGGACTGGCCTGTCGCCATGTCTGTGGGGCATTTCTTGATTGTTGAGTGATATGGGAGGGCCTAGCCCGCTGTAAGTGGTGCCACCCCTGGGCAGGTGGTTCTGTGTTATATAAGAAAGCAGGTTAAGCAGGGGCCAGGGGAGCAAGCCAGTAAGCAGCGCTCCTCCATGGCCTGTGCTTTAGCTCCTGGCTCCAGATTCTTGTCCTGAGTTCCTACCCTGGGCTCCCACAGTGAGGAACTGTGACCTGGGAACTGTAAGCCAAATAAACCCTTTCCTCCTCAAGTTAGTATTGGTCAGAGTGTTTTGTCACAACAATTGAAAGCAAACTAGAACAAGGTTTTCTGGAATGAGGAAATCAGAATACTTACCTTCAAATGGCTGTTTTCTGGATAATACTTCCCACATGATAACTGCATAGCTGTTAAGTTAAAAATATTTACATACTCAATCAAACTTCATATAATAAACTAATACAGCACTAGTTTTCAATGTTGACAGTCATGATACCACTTTTGAAAGCCATAAGGTGGTGAGATGCTGTGCAATGAATTTCAACGTACAATCAGGAAGATGACTGATATATACCTCATATATACATGAAAGGAAATTAAGCTATCTGGAGTGAGTAGATGTTGTGTCATGTATCTGCAGGAATGGTCACACAACAGTGACAAGGAGTTGTGAGGAAGCTCTGTAGTTATACACTGGGCTCACTACTGAAAGGATCCCCTGGCTATTGGTTTAGTGATTTGAGTATTATGCTACATTGTCCTAATAGATCTTTTTATATGGCAAAAAAAAGAGAAAAACTGGATCCTAATTTGTGTTGTGTCCAAGAAACATATCTTACTAGTAAAAATGATCCACAGACTGATAGTCAGAGGATAGAAACAATCTATTAAGTGAATGGAAACCCAAAACAAGCTGGTGTAGTTATTCTGATATCTGATAAAGTTGACTTCCAACCAGAATTAGTCAGAGGAGATAAAAGACCACTACGTATTAATAAAAGGATAAATTCATCAAGCAGTTGATGAATATATATGCACTAAATACTTGAGTTTCCAGTTTCATTATACAATCACTAATGGACATAAAAGATCAGATAGGTCCTGATACAATAAGAGTGGATGATTTCAATCAATTTTTAAATAGGTCATTCAAGCTAAAACCTAAAAAAGAAACCTCAAAGTTAAACCACATCATAGATCAAATAGAGAAGATATCTATATAATATTCCATCCAATAGAAATTGAATACACATTGTTCTCAGCAGCCCACAGAATCTTCTTTAGAACAGATCACAGTATAGGCCACAAATCAAATCTTAGCAAACACAAAAGAAACAAAGTAATCTCTTGCATCTTATCAGATCCTAGCACAATAAAACTATAAATCAACTTTAAAAAACCTACAGAAACTACACAAATACATAAAGACTCAATAATACACTCTTGAATTACCACTGGTCATTCAAGAAATCAGTGAAGAAAATTAAAAGTTCCTAGAATCAAATAAAAACTAAAGCACAACTTTCCAGGTAGTTTGAAAAAGGAGGTTAATAGCTATAGTACTTACATTAAAAATGACAAAGCTCTTAAATAATAACCTAACAAGGTCCTGCATAAAAAGAACAATTTGCTGGGCGTGGTGGTGCACGCCTTTAATCCCAGCACTTGGGAGGCAGAGGCAGGCGGATCTCTGTGAGTTTGAGGCCTGGTCTACCAAGTGAATTCCAGGCCAGCTGGGGCTACCTGGAGACCCTGTCTCAAAAAGACCAAAAAAGCCCCCCCCCCAACAACAACAAACAAAAAACAACAAACAAACAAAGACTTAAAGCTCAAAAGCACTAGATGGCAAGAAATAATAAAGACCAGGGCAGAACTTAATGAAATGCAGACTAACAGAAAAATACACACAATCAACCAAAGGGTTGGTTCTTTGAAAACACAACTGACAAACTTGTAGCCAAACTATCCAAAAGAGAGAAAAGATTCAAATTAATAAATGAGATATTTTAAAAAAAAGGAGTCACTACAGATTTCAGTGAAATAGAGAATCATTATGGGGTACTTTGAAAACTCATATTCCAAAGAACCCTGGAAAATCTAGAAGAAATGGATAATTCCTAGACATGCATGACCACCAAAGTTAAATTAAGAAGATATATAAACAATAGCAATCAGTGAATTTGGAGTCATAAAAATCAGCAAAAAAGAAAACTGTAGACCAATTTCCTTGATGAACAAAGTTGCAAAATTTCTCAATAAAATTCTTGCCAGTTGAATTAAAAACACATTAAGTAAATGATCCACCTTGGCCAAGTTGGTTTCATCTCAGGGATACAACTTGGTTCAATATATGCAAATTAGCAAGTGTAATTCAACATACAAATAGACTTAAGGACAGAAACCACATGATCATCTCAACCAGTACAGGAAAAAGAACAAAAACAAATATCAAATGGTCTGTTTTTACAGAATCAAACGAGTTTCCAGGGTTGTTGTCTAGAAGGTGTGGTCTTCATCTTAGCAGAAACAAATATTTTTTTGTTCCTCCTTATTCTACCTCATTCAAATGAACTGAAGATATCAGAGAACAATATAAAAAGAAAACCTTTGCCGGGCGTGGTGGTGCACTGTAGTCCCAGCACTTGGGAGACAGAGGCAGGTGGATCTCTGTGAGTTCAAGGCCATTCTGGTCTACATAGTGAGTTCCAGGACAGCTCGGGCTACAGGGAGACCCTGTCTCAAAAAGACAAAAAAAAAAAAAACCTTTTTCTGACAAAAGGGGTATATAATTTAACTAATTATATAAATTTCCAGTAGAAGCAAATCATTTACTGGTAAAAAGCATCTTCATTTTTATGAGGTTAATTATTTACTAAAGATAGCAAAAGTTGTTTGAAAGGGATATAACATGTGTTCACAATAATGTAGGAAGTGTGATTTTGCATTTATTGGAAGGCTGAGGAGACAAATGTGAATTATTCATGAGGTAGAGGCTCCTATCCCATACTTCTGTACATTATAAATTATTACCTTTCTTTTTTCTGGTCAAATGAGCAGCATTAAGAACAATGTATTATGCTTATTACTACATTGTGAGATTATAACTAGCTGTTTCTAAATCATGAAAACACAATTTAGTCAAACACACTGACTCACTGTGTATAAGATCCATACACACAAAAATGTTCAGGAAGCTTTAAATAGAAACATCCTTAGTAGATTTAAGAGTTTGCTTATTTGTCTAAAAAGATGTATAATTTACAAAATTATTGGGGCTGGAGAAATGGCTCAGTGGTTAAAAGCACTGGTTGCTCTTGCAGAGGATCCAGGTTTGATTCTCAACACCCACATGGTGGCTAACAACCACCCATAACTCCAGTTCCAAGGGGATCTGACGCCCTCTTCTGGCATCCTTGGGCATTGCATGACATGGGTACACTTACACATATGCACACAATACACTCATACACATAAAACAAAAACAAATATTTTAAAATTATATATATATAATTAGATTACTGTAAAAAGAAAAGAGTATACAATAAAAATTAAAACAATTTCCTCCCACCCCCCAAAATAGACTGAGTGCTCAGCCCTAAAGGAGACATCTATATTAACACCACCCATACACCAAGACTCAGGGAGCATTGTGGAAGAGGAGGCAGAAAGAAAATGAAAGCATGATGGGGAGAGTGCTGTGAACTCTCTGAACATGAAATGGCTATTGCACTCATGAACATTATATTACATACTAATAGTATAAAAACATGTACTTTAATAATTTTAAGTAAAATTAAAATTGCTTAAAATAAGTTTTAATTTGAAAAATATTAACCACTGTGGTAATGGTGGCACCCACATTTAATCTCAGTTCACAGGAGGCAAACGCAGGAAGATCTCTGTGAGATTGAGGCTAGCCTGATCTACATACTGAGTTCTAGTCTAACTAGGGCTACAGGGAGACCCTATCTCAAATAAACAACAATAACAACAACAAAACCCAAAAAAATCCAAATCCAAAACCAACCAACCAACCAACCAACCAACCAACCAACCAACCAACCAAAGTTATTAGAAGAATATAATACAAAATGCAGTTCTGGTTATAAATTTGGTTGATTAATCTTATGTTTAGTCATGACCCCAAACAGTACTCCGTACCTATATATGTCATGCTTCACACTGGCCCTTGATTTCTGCCCAGGTTCATAATTCTCAGGTGGCATATAGATGATTGTCCCTCCTTCAGGTGCAGATCTACTACTTCGTGACTGCGAGAGTGACATCATGCGCCATTTTGATAAACCAAAATCTGCAATCTGTAAGAGGAGAGGAGAGTTCAACTAAAAAAATTCTCTTTAAAAAGTCCAAGAGTTGGGGGCTGGAGAGATGGTTCAGTGGTTAAGAGCACTGGCTGTTCTTGCAGAAGACCTGGGTTTGAATCCCAGTACCCACATGATGGCTAGCAACCATGATGGCTAATAACTGCAATTCCAGTAACACCTTCTCTGGCCTCTTCAGGCATTTCATGCACATGGTCCTCTTACATACATTCAGACAAACACACACACATAAAATAACAATAATAGGGGGCTGGAAGGATAGCTCAGCAGTTAAGAACACTGACTGTTCTTGCAGAAGATCCCGGTTTGAATCCCAGCACCCACATGGCAGCTAACAACTGTCTGTAACTCATGTTCCAAGGGTTCCGATAGCCTCTCTGTCCTCTATGGGCATTGCAAGACACGGGTGTACTTACCTATATGCAAGCAATACATGCATACACATAAAAAAATAAAAATAAAATATTTTTTAAAAGAAGTATACTAAGAAAAATTAAACAAGTCCTTCTAAGCAATTATTCAGAACAATGTCTTTATATAACACATCATCCATCTGTGTTAGATACTATTACTAGTGTATGCATGTACTGAATTAACATATCACATTCCATGTACATATGTAAAAATTATTTGTCAATTAAAAACAAAAAATTTAAAAAGTAAATATCACCGGGCGTGGTGGCACACGCCTTTCGTCCCAGCACTCAGGAGGCAGAGGCAGGTGCATCTTTGTGGGATAGCTTTAGTGTCAATTTGACACACCTGGGTTGAGGAAGCCTCAATTGGAGAATTTCCTCTATTGGACTGGCCTATGGCCCTGTCTGAGGGGCATCTTCTTGATGAGTGATATGGGAGGGCCCAGCTCACTGTGGGTGGTGTCACCCCTGGGAAGGTGGGCCTGTGTGGCATAAGAAAGCAGGCTGAGCAGGGGCCAAGGGAGCAAGCCAGTAAGCAGCATTCCTCCATGGCCTGTACTCCAGCTCCTGCTTCCAGGTTCCTGCCCTGAGTTCCTACCTTGGGCTCCCTGATGAACTACAACCTGGGAGATGTAAGCTGAATAAACCCTTTCCTCTCTAAGTTGGTAATGGTCAGAGTGTTTTGTCACAGCAATGAAGAAACAAACTAGGACAGTAAATATGTTTGATTTTTAAAAAGGGAAAAATTATAATGATTTTTTGCAACTCTATATACTCTGAGACTACCCTTAAACCTTGATTTTAAAAAATTATCAGAAGAGTTTGTTAAGGTAGACTTTATAAATGATCAAAAGGGATACTTCATAAATGTTCAGAAAGTGAAATAACTAGCAAGAATTCATAAAAAATAAATTACATAAGACCAATGCTCTGTTTCAGACTTCATATAACATAGTTTTCCACAAAAGAAGCCAAGTTTCTTTCATATAGTTACTGCTACATCATCAAAGAGCAAAGTTAAATATTTTTGGAAAATTTTTTGGTGTATTTATTTTTATTTTATGTGTATGAATGTTGTGGCTGCATGTGTGCAAGTACATTCATGTGCATTGCCCACAAGGGACAGAAGAGGGAGTTGGAGCCCTTGAAACTGGAGTTATAGATGGTTGTTAGCTGCCATGTGGGTGCTGGGATTCGAACCTGGGTCTTCTGCAAGAGCAGTCAGTGTTCTTAACTGCTGATCCATCTCTCCAACCCCATATGCTATAAAATATTTGATGTGCTTTTATAATAACATATTTGACTATTAACTTAGCAGATCTATTTATTATATACAGAAGCTCTGGAATTCATTAACTTGTTCATTTAATTTAATTATGAATGCTTCTATATGGCATGTACTGGGCATGTGGCAGTTAATATAAACTGATTTTTTTTCATGAAACTTATATTTACTGTGCAAACAGTAAATATATAATTTAAAAAATCATGCTGGTATGCCAGGTGTGGTGGTGTGTGCCTTTAATCTCAGCCCTTGGGAGGCAGAGGCAGGCAGATCTCTATGAGATAGAGGCTAGCCTGGTCCATGGAGTGGCTTCCAGGTGGGCTAGGACTAGGGAGATCCTGCCAAAAAACAAACAACAAACAAAAAAATCATGTCGGTGAGAAATATCATTAAGTATAGGTACAGGACAGAGAGAGGATGAGAGGAGCTAGGTGGAACATCATGGAAAGCCCCACTGCTTCTGAGGGAATAAATCACGAGGACACTCAAAAAGAGCAGGCAGCAAGGACTCTTCCAATATTCTGACAAAAAATGGAGACATAGGGATGTATATTGGTACCTACAGGAGTAGTCCCAAAAAACTGAATGATGATTTCCTAAAAGTGCTGATTAACAAAAGGACAGACATGAATGTGTAGGGAGATTCTTAGGGCCGGGCTATCTGCTATGATCTGTCTCTTAACTGAGGCTGAAGCCATGCCCATATAACAAGATACAATTTGATACTGTCCAAAAGGTATTTTGTACTGTATATAAGGAGAGGTAGCTTAAGCAATAACATGAACAACAATAACAAAAACACAAAAAGAAACCTCTCAGGACCTTGGCTAACAGTCCAATTTGAGTAGTATGACTGCCTAGCAGCAGCTGATTAATTAGTAAGAAACTTTTTTTCTCAAGACACGGTCTCATGTACCCTGGGTTGGCCTGAAACTCATTATGTAGCCTAGGCTGGAATTATAGGTGAAACCACCATGCCTGGCCAAAAACCTTTTAGTAAGCATTTAGGACTACAGAAATAACACTTTCATTCAATTCTACATTCATCAGATTATGCCAAAAGTATACTGTTCAGTTCTAAGGATATAAAATTGAAATTAAAGCTAAAAGATGCACTCAAATAACCCAAGGGATTAAAACTCCTTTAATAGGGAACTGGTTGAAGAAGCTAAGGATATTAAGCAGAGAGAAGGAAAAAGATCCAAGTGACTGTGAGGAGAGGGACCATTGCTATCTTCAGTTGTTAGAAGGGCTGAGTTGAAGGACAACTGGATTAACTCAGTTTATCATGAAGAAATGAGATAAAGCTAATAAGTCAAAGCAACAGGAAAGGAAGTTTGATCATTTAAGAAAGTGTCAGTTACTGACGTAAAGATGTTGTTTCTGTCATAGGGCAACTGCTTTGGTTTGTTTTTAATTAATTAATTTTTATTTTATGTGTATGAATCTTTTGCCAGCATGTATGTACATGCACCTGTACATACAGTGCCTGCAGAGGTCAGAAGACAGTGTTTGATCCTCTGGAACTGGAGGTATGGAAAGTGATTAGCTGCATGTGGGTACTGGGCACCAAATCTGGGTCTTTGCAGAAGCAGCCAGCAATCTTAATGGTTGAGCCATTTCTCTAGCCCCCTAGGGTAACTACTTTGGGAAACAGGGACTATAGTGAGAATTCAGAAGTCTAGCTGACCAATAAGGTCTTATACTTTAAGTAATGTGACATATTAGTTTCTCCCTTTAATAACGAACAGAAGCTTGATTTATTTTCCCCTCCCCAACCTGTCATTTTATTCTAGGGAAGGTAAGTATATTTAATTTTTTTTTACTTAAATTTTCTCATACTTCTGTTAAAATTTTCTGTTATAACTTCTCCATTAAATAATAGAAAATAAAATTTTCTGTTATAACTTCTCCATTAAAATAATCTAGAGGAGTAAGTAATAGATTTTGATATTTTAAATAATTTTCTAATTATGTATGTTTCAAAAAAGTTGTATAAGTATAAAATATAGAAAAACAAAGTTGTATTTAGTATTAATTACTCAGTAATTACTTTTTACTTGAGCTCACCAATTATATATAGGGTTACAGTACACCTTGTACTTTATACAAAAATAAAAAATATAGATTTCAGTGTAAAAATACAACACTTAAAAAATAAAAAACCTTAGAAGACAGCATAGAGGACAAGCCATCAGTACCTCAAGCCTAGAGAATAGTGCTTAGACATGACAGCTAAAGCATTATATATAAAGGGAAAAGGGGAAAGTTGGACTTTGTGAAAGTTAATACTCTTCTCTGACAGGCTTTGCTAAAAGAATAAAAATGGGCCTGGGAGATGGCTCAGTGGTAAAATACTTGCTCGGCAAATATAAAGACCTGAGTTTAATCTCCCAGTACTCTACCCACATCAAAAAGTCAGGCATGTCAGGGTGCACCTGTAATCCCAGTGCTGGGGGATTGGAGACAGGAGGATCCCTGGGGCTCACTGGTCAGCCAGTCTACTCAAGTGACCAAGCACACGTGTACATACACAAACACATACATTCACAACTCACCACACACACACACACACAAGCTGTAGAGGAATATGTGACATATTTGAAAACCATGCCTCTGAAAAAGGCTCACATTTAAAATATACCCAGGATTCTTAAAATTGAGCAGTGAAAAATGAAAAAACCCAATTAGAAAGTGGGCTTATGACATGAAGAAACATTTCACTGAAATGGTTCCATGGGTGACAAGTGAGCATATGAAAAGGTGTTCAAAATCATTAGCTATTAGGAAAGTTTAAATTAAGACAATGATGAGAATGAAAAACACCCAGTGCTGGAGGGTACACAGAAGCTGGATCTCTGACTCACTGCTGATGGAAGGTAAAATGGTACAGTCACTGTGAAAAATGATTGGACAATGTTGAGTTAATCTTGACTGTGAACTTGATTGGCTTGAGAGCCGCCTAGGGGATCAATAAAGTCTACAGGCTTCTATATCTGTAAAGATTTTTCTAGGTATGATTAGATAAAAAAATTAATCCTTTAATGGACTGACATATTATTGGGAGGTGGTGAAAGGTACGTAGGGTCTAGTTGGAGGAAGGAGACCATTGGGGACATATAGTTAGAGGCTGTATCTTGCCCTGATCCCTTCCTGTATTCCCCATGCTCGGCTTGCTGTCCACGGTGATTTGAGCTGCTCCACCATGCACTCCCTGCCATGCTGAAACCTCTGAAATGATGAGCTAAAATAAATCTTTCCTCTCCACAAATTATTTCTGGTCACAGTGAGAAATAGTTGCCTAATGTGGATAATTTCTGAAAATATTAAATATACTCTTACCATATGTATTAGTTACTTTTCTGTTGCTGGGGGAAAACACCACAACCAAGTCAACTTGTAGAAGGAGGAGTTAATTTGGCTTGTGATTCTAGAGGAGTAAGCGGGTCCATCTTGGTGGGGAGGCATAGTGGCAAAGACAGAGCAGAAAGCTGAGGGCTCACATCTTCAAACATGCAGATAAAGCAGAGAGAGAAGCCTGGAAGTGGGCAAGCCTAACTACTCTTAAGCAACCCCTAGTTACTTGCTTCCTCTAGCACTGCCGCACCTCCTAAACCTCTGCAAACATTGTCACTGTCCTAGTTTGTTCTTCATTGCTGTGACAAAATATTCTGACCACTACCAACTTGGGGAGGAAAGGGTTTATTTGTCTTACATCTCCCAGGTCGCACACAGTTCATCAGTGAGCCCAAGGTAGGAACTCAGGGCAGGAACCTGGAGGCAGGAGCTGGAGCACAGGCCATGGAGGAATGCTGCTTACTGCAAGAGCAGCCAGTGCTCTTAACCACTGAGCTATCTTCTCCAGCTCCCTAGCTACTTTTCTTATACAGTCTAGGCCCACCTGCCCAGGGATGGCACTGCCTACAGTGGGCTGGTCTCCCCTATATCAGTTAACAATTAAGAAAATGCCTTATAGACATGGCCACAGGCCAGTCCAATAGAGGAAATTCCTCAAATGAGGCTCCGTCAACCCAGGTGTGTCAAGCTGACACTAAAGCTATCCAGCACAATTGACCCCTTGTCAACTTGACACACTAACATCACTATTAAACCATAAACTTTCCAATTTTCGTCCCCAAGGTATGATGTTAATATTACAACATAAGACAGTACAACCTTAAAAACCCCACAGTCCTTAAAAAATCCAAACACTTAAAAGTCCATAGTCTCTTAATAGTCTCTTAACTGTGGGTGGGCTTCTGTAAAATCCAAAACAAGTACTGTCTTATTTCAGAGGGAAGAATTGGGCACACCTAAGCAAAACCACAGTCCAGCCAAGTAGCTCAAGGCTGGACATCTGGGATTCACTCATGATCTTCTGGGCTCCAAAGGGTACTGGCAGCTCCACTGCTCTGACTCTAGTCCACAGCACACTCAGCTTCTCTTGCAGACCCAGGCCAGCTCCATTCCACACCTACTGCTGTCCTTGTTGGTCATCCCATGGTCCCAGCTTCTCCAAAAAGCTGGGGTCTCTACTGAAACTGAGGCTACACCTTCACCAATGGCTTCTTCTTGCCTCAGATGCTCTCCATGACCCCCTTCAATCCTGGGGTCTTAACTGCAACTGAAGCTGCACTTTCACCTATGGCCTTTCCTGGCCTCTGCGTGCCAAGCCTCAGCTGCTCTCTGTGACCCCTTCACGCTTTCAACACCAGAATCACGCAGGAGACTCTTACACATTACCAAGTCCTGCTTCCAGCTTGAGATAGAGGCTCAGGTTCCCTCTGTGTGCTGACCCTGAAGATATACCTCTCAGAAGACTTCACCACAGTGATCCTGGTCTTTTGTTACTTACAGCTGATTTTTCAGCTCCAGCTAACCAGCATCAATTGTCCCAGTAAAGCAAAAGTTTTACTTCAGGTTCTGGTCTCTTCTTAACCACAGCTGATTCTTCAGTCCCAGCTGACCAGAACCCAGAGATTCTCAATGCAAAATCTCATACGAACAGCCCTGATAGTCTCCACTTCCCTTTGAAGCTTCACAAGCCAGGCCTCCATGTTCTACAACTCTTTCACCATAACTGTTCCAAGCTCCACAGCAACAAACTCTTGAGCACACAATGGCTTTTCCAGCCCAAAGTTCCAAACACACCACAGTCCTCCCAAAAACACTAAGGTCAGTCTGTCACAGCAAGCCCCACTCCTGGTACCAATTTCTGTCCTAGTTTGTTCTTCATTGCTGTGACAAAATACTCTGACCACTACCAACTTGGGGAGGAAAGGGTTTATTTATCCCACATATCCCAGGTCACAGCTCATCTGGGAGCCTAAGGTAGGAACTCAGGGCAGGAACCTAGAGGCAGGAGCTGGAGCACAGGCCATGGAGGAATGCTGCTTACTGACTTGCTCCTCTGGCCCCTGCTCAGCCTGCTATCTTATGCCACACAGGCCCACCTGGCCAGGGGTGGCACCACCCACAGTGGGCTGGGCCCTCCCACATCACTCATCAAGAAGATGCCCCTCAGACATGGCCATAGGCCAGTCCAATAGAGGAAATTCCCCAATTGAGGCTCCCTCAACCCAGGTGTGTCAAGTTGGCACTAAAGTTATCCAGCAGAGTCACCAACTGGGGCCAAGTATTCAAATACTTGGAGCCTATGGGGGACATTCCCTAGTGAAGCCACCACACCATATGACTCAGCAGCTGTACTCTTGGCATTTATTCCCAAGGAGTGAAGGCTTATAGAAGACTGTTCACAGCAACTTTATTATAACTGTTTGCCAAAACAACCAAAAAAACTCTTGCTAGGTGAATAATTAAATAATTGTGGTACATTCATATAATACAGTACCATTTATCAATAGACAACAACTATACAAATAACAATTTTGATGTATCAAGTACATTATGTTCAGTGAATAATATATGACATACTTCATGACTTTATATAACATTCTCAAAATGACAAAACAGATTAGTGACTGTCAGTATAGGGAGGAAGTGGATAGGATTATAAATGGGTGTTGGAGCTACTTTTGATTGCTGTGATTTTTATATAAATGTACACATATTAATAACAGCACAGAACAATATATGTGCATTTTACTAATTCTTGTCAGGTTTCTGGTCTGGAAATTATACTGCAATTATGTGGAGAGAATGGGTGAAGAGCACATGGAACCTCTTTGTATTATCTTTGTAGCTTTCTGTGAATCTATACTAATTACAAAAAATACAAAGTAAAAGATGAAAATGTTTTGCACAATTTAACTAAGAAACTTGGTACTTGGTATTGAACTCTATCTACCTCTGAAGTTTAAGAATAACTGAGCCACTAAAAGGGGCTGAAGACAGGAGTTAGCTGATGTAGAAAGATGCTAAGAATGCTAGCTGGAAGAGCAACTAAACAGATGAGAGAAACTTATGCAAATGCAATTACCTTAACATGAAACTCATTATCCAACAAGATATTCTGAGTTTTTAAGTCGTGATGAAGTAGGGGAGGATTCATATTATGCAGGTAATTTACTCCAAGTGCAATCTCATGTAGGATACGGAATCTCAGTGGCCAGGCAATATCAGGATATTCAGTTTTCTTTATATGCATGAAAGAAAAAAAACCAAAATGAACAGTAATTTCTTAATTTAACACTTAGAAAAATAAGGAATTCCATGAGGAAATGATTATAAACTAAGATAAAGCATATGCTCAATTTTATAAAAGTGTCAATTTGATATTGCTTATTATTCTCATGGTTTACTTTCTTCCATTATTAGAAAAAAATAATGGTAACTACTATAGTGATATTTCTTTCTAGTTTATATTGACCATGCAATTGCACGACATCATTCCTCTTTCTTCAATAGAGACAACTCTCTGTTATTCTGTATTTATATATAGTCAGGCACAAATCTACAGTCCTCTCCATTATGAAGTTGTATGGCTTTATCAGTAATCTATGCCCACAAGTACACACATATAAGGAAGAAAAAGAACCCACATGATTTGCTTCTGAAACATGAAGTCATTCATTCAAATTTTTAATTTTCCTATTAATATAAAAGAATTATTATAATCTCAATTAAAATTGAGAACATAATTATATTTACCTGAATAGGGTTAATATCAAATACTTGAAAAATGTATTACTATTACGATTGTTAGTGTGTGGGGGGTATGATGGGGGGGCACATATGCCATAGTGTAGAGCAGGTCCGAGGACTTTGTGGAGTCCTGTCTTTCCTTCCTTTACAGGGGTTTCCGGATGGAACTCAGGTCCCAAGGCCTGTATTGTCAGGTTGCAAGTGCCTTTACCTACTGAGCCATGTCGCTGGCCTATATCTCATACTTTTAATTATATAATTTATCTATATTACTTTTTGAAAAATTAACTCTTGATCATTTTTGTTTCTAAACTGATAAAATGGGCACATTTAGACTACAGTGTTTTATATTTCCTAGTACTTGTAACTGATATCCTCTTTAAAATAAGTGTTTTCTAGCAAACTGTCGTGATGAATGGTATTTAATCTTAGCACCTGGGAAGCAGAGGCAGGTGGATCTCTGTGAGATCAAGGCCAGCCTGGTCTACACAGTGAGTTCCAGGCTAGCTGGAACTACAGGGAAACCCCGTCTCAAAAAAAAGTGTTTTCTGAGTATTTTCTAAATATAAAAGTTAATGAAGCTCCCTAAGAGAATGTGTATACTCAGAAAAATCAGACAATTTGGGAAGGGTGACAACAAATCATCAGGTACCATACTCATTGGTTGGTTTTCCAAAATACTATGTACAAGTCACTCTTACTGCAAGTTCAAAACTGCCTTAAGAATTTTTCCTAAAAATAGCCCTGCTTAAATTTCAGTGATCAATTTGGCAAAGGGAATGGTTCAAGATATTTTACACTCTCTATGGTGTATTTCTGTTTTATTCAATGGTCTTTCATGAGGTTAGAAGTGAGCACTTCAAGATAAATCCCACCATAAGTAACACAATACAGGAAGCCAAAAGAAACAGGCAACACTAATGTGCAACATTACTTCCTGTGGGATGCACCCAGCCCAGTTCCCTGGAGTAACTGAATCATTCCATCTGTAAAACTGCAGCTTTGTCTGAAAATTACGCAATTTAATGGAACAAGGCCTCTGAATGACAGTGTCACATGGAGGCTTTTCATCACGGAGACAACGTCCAGTGACACTCACTCTATAATTTATGGTCACTTAAGAGTTAGCAATACCCCTAGAGGAGGCTGCTGAATATCCAGGGGGATCCCAATATGGGTACTAGACTATCTATGGGGTAGGGAAAGAAAACATTAGGATGTCTACTTAAAATTCAATTCTGAAGAAACAAAAAAGAAATTGTGCTGCATGGACTCTTTATGTCTTGATAGCTGGGGCAGTAGCACAAACCTTACAGACTGACACTCATTGCTTCACTCTGTCTTTGTTTCAGATGGACAGTCATGAATAGAATGCCACATATTCTGAAACAAAGAGGGAATCACTCCGTGAGTGGCTGCCAGTGGCACCCACTTTCCCTTGCTAGTTTAGAAGCACTGTGATGTCATGCTATTACAACTATTATGTGGTTGTAATTAGCCCAAACCCTCATAAAATGGAGCATTTGGCTTGAAATAATTTCTGGAAAGAAAATGCAGGCTGGAGACAGCAGGTAAGCTCAAACAAACAAACAAAAAATAATTAAATACATGTATCTCAAGAACAAGGACCCTAGATTTGCTTGTTGAAAGGATTCCCAATCAAAGTCAGAGTAACCGGTATCCTGAAAAGACGGCAATGGCCTACACTGCTATTATCAGGAATATTTCATGATCTTGTCATTGCAGGTAATTTTTGACCTGTTAACTAAAAATAATTAATTTGGATCCTAAATAGTCACTAAATATAAAATATGGCTATGAATAGTGCAGTTTTAGTATGACTGTCAGGTAGTTGCCTATGCCAAATGACCTAGGTCCTTTGACTACAAGCCTGACTCCACAGTACAATTAACAGCACAAAACCACAAAAGGTGAGTGTTTACCACTGCAATGGTGCTTCCTCATTCTTGATTCACTGACCTACTCCCAAATAAGGTGACTGAATGCAAAACCAAAGTACTACATATAGTTTGTGCAGATTAATAATTATAGTCACTGAAAATAAACAGTACTTACCCTATGCAGAAGTTCATTTAATGATCCATTTGGCATGTATTCAGTGACTATGCCCAAAAATTCAGGCTCATTGCAAATTCCCAAAATTGGAAGAATGTAGCTAAATCTAGCTTTATGTAATATTTCAGCTTCTCGTAAGATGTCATTTCTTTCACTAAGGAAAAAAAAAGGATACTTATTTCAGATAATGAAAAACAAATAATGACCATCCCAACAAGATTAAGCAAGTGTGGATTTCTTTTTACTAAAATTAGCTATGTAACCTCATGTAAGTTTTTTTAAACTTCTGTGTCCCTTAGTCTCATTATATTCAAAACACAGATAATATCTACTTTAGATATTCCATAGGTCTATTTAGAGACCAAAATAACTTCTACAAACCACTGATAGGCAAAAGTACTACACACACGTTGTTATTATTGTACTTTTCCTAGGAAAGGGAAAGAACATGATGTTAGAGGAAGTACCTAAAGCTTATCCATGTCAAAATGATTGGTGCTTGAACCAATAATATCAGTAAGTTTATTTTGTATTAAAATGAACAGATTTGATCATAATAATACACTGCATTTTATGATTGTATAATATGTAAAAATGTTCCAAATCTTCTGAATCCTAAAAGATTTAACTACTGCAGATTTAAATGCCTAGATGATGGTGGCTACAAAGTCAGTAATGCTTAGAAGTTACACTTCAAACTAAGGAAAAAACCCTGAGAACAGGAAAGCACCCATCATAGATCCCCAACACACCAAGGTTCGTCCATAGGTACAATAAGTCTTTAACTTTTAGTATAAATGAAGAACGATGTTCAGTATTACAGAGAATACAAAGATGAAAAGATATCTTTGCCTTTAAGTTGCCCACAATTCATTTAGGAAAAATAAAATACAGAATGTGATACATGACAAATATTATATACAAAGAAATAAAAAAAGAAAGAAAAAAGAAGAGCAAATGCAGGACAATTCAGGGGAAAGAGAGAATTTTGGGCGAGGGAGCCACCACTGTCTTCAGAGAAGTAGGATTTCAGTGCTATCTTAAGGCTGGATAGCATTTCAGCACTGGGGAGAAGGCACCTGAAGACAGAGGCCTCCCAGAGATGCGAGACTTTGCTTTTCTTCTGTGCATCCCCAGGAGTTGAAGTGCCTCCATTTATAGTGACACAGTAGAGGACCAACTGCTATGTGTCAAATGACTTAGGGACATGGAAGTGAAACTGGAAATGTTAAATATGAACCAGAATACATAACAGAATATGCAAAAGGGGCGAAGGCAAAGAAACATGCTAAGGTCATGCCTCAGAATCTCAAAACCAGGCTAGAGTAGCTACACTTTCCCTCTCAATTGTGACTTATCTTCAACTGTGATTGAAGGTTTTGAGTAGGAGAAAGAAATACGTAAAACTAAATTTCATTATGGTTATCTTGGCAGCAGGATATGGGATTAGCAGAAACAGGAAGAGTTTGGAAGGCAGGTGTAAGATTTTAATAATGGCTTAGATGTGAAGCAAGGAGAGCCTAAAACTACACAGTAGCAGTGGAAAGGGAGAAAACAGCTGGACAGAATGTGTGGCTGTCGTGACTGTCTAGAAGAGATCTTAAAGATGGAAGAGAATTGAAGCCATCATCAGTTTTTACCCCAAATCACAGGTGTTGGCAGCAACGACAGACATAGAAATGCTTCCAGGAAAAGTCTATTGGGTAAATGAAAATGAGTTGGCTCAAGTAAGCCACCCAAGCCCTGGATGAATGGCTGTTGAAATAAGATCGCAACAGACATTCCTGAACAGACTATAAGGCCTGCTTAAAATACACACCTACACAACATACACAACACACACACACACACACACACACACACACCCAAACTTTAGTCACTTATGCTTTGAGTAGGCGATATATTTTGTATGTTTCAAAATTTAAGAGTTGCAAGAAAACAAAGCTTCTCCTTCCTGTCCCCCAGCCCCTTACCTTGACTGTACGGAAACCAATTCTATCAATCAGTGAGGCCCATTTTATTTAAACTTAAATTTCCCAACTTCTGACAGTTCTGTTTGCCCCAAAGCTGTGGGTCATCAGACAATTACTGTATAGCACCCTTACAGGATAAACCTGAAGATTCCTGGGCACTGAGAAAAACCACCATACTGGGCATGCTGTGAAGTCTCAGTGAATTGCATGTGTGAGGCACTTCCTCCTACCAAAAGTATCAAATAGGGGCTTGAGAGATAGCTGTTAGTAAAGGGACTGATGTATGAGCCTGAAGACCTGAGTCTGATCCCCAGACTCCACATAAAAAAGCCAGTTGAGGTAGCATGAGCTTGTAATTCCAGTGCTGGAGAGGCAAGGACAGGTGAGTTCCTGGGGTGGGTTGGACAGCTAGTCTAGATGAATGAGTGAGTTCCAGGTGAGTGAGAGACCCTGTCTCAAAAAAAAAAAAACAAAACAAAAAAAAACCTAAAAAACTAGCAACAAAACAGTGTGGATGTTGGTCCTAAGGAGTAACACCTGATACTGACACCTGAGGTTGACTTCTGGCCTCCACATGCATGTACACATGGTCCAGCACACACATATGTGCACAAATGAACATGAGCACACATATGTATACATACATAGGAAAAAGTCTGAAGTAGTCTTCATGCCAGCCACTTTATATGCATTCTAATCCTTGGATCAACCTGCTAAAGCTGGTTCCATTATCTCCACTATATATAGATGGATGGATGGATGGATGGATGGATGGAAGGATGGATAGACAGATAGATAGACAGATAGATGATAGAGGCACTGAGAGTCAGAACACTGAATATTTTTCTAGTGGTCACACACTAAGAGAGGTTTGAGTCCTATTCAAGCTGCAGCCATGGTTCTCTATGGTCTGTGGTTTTTCTATTCTATTGCTTGACCAGAACAAGAAGTAGGACAGTTGTGAGGTTAGATCTTTAACAAAATTGAGGGGAAAAATAAAACCAAAGG